GGAGAGTGAGGGAGAGAGGGGGGAGTGAAGAGCAGGGAGGTTGCATTGCCGTTCTTAAGTGTGGGTTGAAGACGATCAGGTTGATCTTGCAGGAGATGCCCTCTGTTAGGGTTACCAGGCTATGTGCATCGTCCATACAGTAGGGAGAAAAGCGGGTGAGGGAAGGGAAGGGAGGAGAGGGAATGAGGTGTGCTGTTCCTGGGTGCGGGTTGAAGACTGTCAGGTTGATCTTGCATGTGATGCTCTCCGTTTGGGTGACAAGCCTATGTGCATCCTCCAAGCTGCATGCAGAAAAGCAGGTGAGGAAAGGAAGGGAAGAGAAAGAATGAGGTGTGCTGTTCCTGGGTGCGGGTTGAAGACTATCAGGTTGATCTTGCATGTGATGCTCTCTGTTCGGGTGACAAGGCGACATGCGTCGTCCGCACTGGAAAAAAAAAGGGGAGAAAAAAAAGAAGGGAAAAGGTAAGGGAAGTATGGAATCAATCTTGCATGCTATGCGCACTGGTTAGAGATATCCATCGTTTCTCATAAGAGCATCTGCAAGTACACATAGGCGTGGTATAGGGTCGCTGCATGCTTTCCTGGGGGGTGATGCACTCGCCCCATTCTGATGGCGGTGATGCACTCGCCCCACTCTGATGGCGGGTGACGTCAAGGCCCTACAGACGCGAGCAAGGCAAACATAGGCCTGTTGCACGCATACCTGTCGTTGACCCCATCCAGCATCAGGTACTCGATGAATACATGGCGCTTCTTGAACTGCTGCTGCAGCCCTGCACCCTCCTCTCCTCCAGCTCGTGTTGTCCGTGTTGGGTCAGGGAAGAGCTGTCTCAAGCACGCAAAGAGGCTGCTGAGGTTGTGCTTCTTGTTGATGGGCATTATACTGCTGCGCACCTGGCATTGATTGGAGTGAGGGTTGGAAATAGAGGAAGGAAGAGAAGGTATGATCCAGGCAGACAAAGAGGCTGCTGAGGTTGTGCTTCTTGTTGATGGGCATTATACTGCTGCGAACCTGGTATGGGGAAGGGGGGGGTGCGGAAAGGAGGGGGGGTGGGAGGGGAAAGGGAGGAGGTGCCACTGTCCTGCAGTCTGGCCGACTAGGGAGGGGATGAGCTGTGTCAGGCTGGTGAACTTGATGGGGGTAGGTGGGTGGGTGGTTGTATGACAGGGGGGGAAAGGAAGAACAGGGAAACGGGTGTCTCAGGCAGGCAAGCAACGAGGATGATAAGGCTGTGCTTGTTGTTGATTGGCCGAAGACTGCTGAACCCTAACGTAACCTTGTGAGCACATAAAACACATAACCCGGTGAAAGAAGGGCGTACCTCGTCTGTGGTTGCGTGCAGGCTGAGGGCCAGGCTAGCTTGGGAGTGGGAACAAAATTCCACCATCTCAGGCACGAGGCCACAGGTAGACACGGTGGTGCGAGCAGGCGAGCAGTGGGTGGGGAGGCATGGGAGGGAGTGAATGCACAAGGCTAACCCAGTGAACGAAGGCTGTACACACCTCGTCGGTGGTGGCATGGGAGCGAGCGGGCGAGCAGTGGGCGCCGAGATAAAGGGCAGGAGAGGCGGGAATGACACAGGGAGAGCCCAGTGAGAAGCTGTACACACCTCGTCGGTGGTGGCATGCAGGCTGAGGGCCAGGCTAGCTTGGGAGTGGGAACAAAATTCCACCATCTCAGGCACGAGACCGCACGTTGACACGGTGGTGCGAGCCGGCGAGCAGTGGGCGCCCAGAGGGTCGAGGAGGGTGTTGCATGCCGTGAGGACTGCTGGTAAATTGTTGTAGCGGCTCGCCCATTCCCTGAGGAGGGGGTGCAGAAGGCAAGCAGTGGGGATGCAAGCAGAGGGTGAAGTCAGGTCAAACACACATATGGACACGGTGGTGCGAGCCGGCGAGCAGTGGGCGCCTAAGGGGTTGCGGAGGGTGTTGCATGCCGCAAGGAGTGCTTGGCAGTGCGGTGCTGTGCGGTGCGGGCATCATAACCCACCATGAAGACAAGGTTGGTCACAGGCCCGACTTCCTCTGTGAAGAGACGGCGGATTTGAACCACCTGATCCACGATCTCCCCTGCTATCAGATTGAGCTGTGCTGAACGGTTCAATGCGGTTCAGTGCTCTACAGACCTGTGCGGTACTCAGCAGTGCTTACATTATGACCCACTCACCATGAAAACAAGGTTGGTGACGGGACCAACTTCCTCCGTGAAGAGACGGCGAATCTGAACCACCTGATTCACGACCTCCCCTGCTGTCAGATTGTGCTGTGCAGTGCGGTTCAGTGCGATAATGTGCGAAGTGGTGCTTGGCAGTGTGGTGCTTTGCGGTGCGGGCAGCAAGACCCACTCACCATGAAGACAAGGTTGGTGACAGGGCCCACTTCCTCTGTGAAGAGGCGGCGAATCTGAACCACCTGATCCACGATCTCCCCTGCTGTCAGGTTGCGCTGCAGACCCATCCTGCAATGAGAACAAGAAAGGAGTGCGTTGAGAAAACAAGGCAGAAATGCGTTGGCACCTTTGCTGTACTAGACGCTGTGCAGAAAGGAGCCAGCTTTAAGCTACTTACTTGGCAGTGAAGCAGAACTGACACCCCATGGCACACCCAAGCTGAGTCGACACACACACAGTGTTCCTTCCACCCTTACTCCTTCTCCTGCTGCTACTGCTACTGCTGCTGCTTCTGCTGCCCCTGCTGCTCCCGCTAGCCCCAGTGCCATCAGTCCTGCTCATACCACCCCCCTCTGCCTCATCCTCACTACCACTCCCCTCCTCTTCCTTTTCCTCCTCCTCCTCCGCACCTTCTCCCCCCTTCCCCGGTCTGTGGGGAATCAGCACTGTTTCCACCACGCCTAGTCTCCTGGGGCGGTCAGTGGGAGGCAGGTCAGCATCGCGACTCAACTCAAACAGCACCTGGCATAATGTGTGCGAGGAAGTGTGCGAGGAAGGGAGGGGGGGGGGGTGGTAGTGTGTGTGGATGGGGGGAGAGTTGCTTGAGAAAGTGTACAGGGATTTGTGTGTGTGATGTAACTGTGGGTCTGTGTGTGACAGTGTGAGTGTGATGATTGGTTCGAGTGTGCGAAGCCCACTTACCTTCTTTGTCCCGTCGGCGGCTGTTCGAACGGAGTGGAGGCGAAGGGAGGAGAAGCGAGCACCCGAGGAGGCGAGCAGGGAGAGGAACGAACGACTGACCCCTGCAGGCAAGCAATTTCAAGGATTTAGAAAATTGGGCGATGGTTCAGGAGGGATAGTCGTAGTAGGGATTCAGAAGGAAATGAAAGGAGAATGGGTTCAAAAAGTAAGTATCAGCAGCTATTGCAATCACATCGTCAGCCTAATCAGCCACGTCATCACCTGCACCTGACACGTCACCAACTTCACCTGCCATGTCATCGACGCTCTCAGCCCAGTGCGCATCTCGATACAGCCACTTCCACAGGACCTTTGCCCGCCTCCTGTGCTCCTCCCCGCACTCCGCTGCCACCCAATCCTGCGATATAGTCACAACAGGCAAAATTGCAATTTACAGCCATTTAGAGATATTCTCGCGCATCTGGACCCAACCCAGCCAACCCTTCCCAATTCCCTTCTCCCTAATTATGCAGGATTTTTCTGCGAATTTCCAGAAGTCCCCCACCCCCCCATGCTCAAAGCCGTGATTCGGTCTCACCTCTAGTTGCTGGAAGCTCATATCTTTAAGATACACAGGCGCACGATCTAACGCTCGTTCCAGAGGCGGCTCGGCTTCTGCTAGTAGCGGAGCGCTTATCGCAGCCGTCCCAGTTCCTGATTGGCTTCTCATTGACACGCTTCGCAGAGCGTGGTTGTAGAAACCTCCAGGCGACGGGTTACCGTGCGACAAACCTCTATGCGACAGGCTGTGCGACAAAACCCTGTGCGCCACGCTTCTGTGAGACAATCGGCTGTGCGACGACCTCCTGATCGAAGCACTGCCAGACAGAATTTGGCAGGAGAGCTGGTTCGAGGCATTTCGGCGGCTCGTTTGAATGCCTACGCCGGTGGAATTGAAGCTGCTGTGAAGGCGGCCCGACAGCTGACTGCGCGACACGTAATTAAGGACCTGTCTGGAGCTTACGCAGGCCCAGGGAGGAAGAGTAGCGGTCGCCATAAAAATCCCTGAGAAACGGCTAGTGTGATCATGTTCGTTGGAACTTGGTAGTGTGTAATTGTGCGAACTGCTGCTGAGAATCTCGGGTGAGCCAAACCAGCGCTAGAATATGACCCGTTTTTGAGAATGTTGCTATCATTGCTAAGGGCGCGTGTCTTTTGGTGTAGACGTTCGGATTTTTGGTTGAACTTTTGCTGGTTATCTTATTCGTCAATTTCGCCAAATTATTCGCCAGGACGTCGTGTGTCCACGTACACTTCCGGCATCGGAAAATGTTGAGCCCCCAAGTTGAACCCTCATCAACAAACAGGTTGGCACGAATGTGCGAGCGTGTGTCCACCTCATCACTGACAGCGACGATGCGAAGTCTGCGACGCTCGCAGCTAGCATCAGGGCGCTCGTCAGCGCGAGTCCCGGTGGCGCGATGTCAAGAGCCCAAACCGGGTAACCTACAAGCGTAGGTCGCGGCTCGGCTGGGCTGCAAAAGTTCAACTTCGATAGTTGAACTTTTGTTTGTCGCGTGATTTTCGGGAGGGGTGGAACCGCGGCTCGGTTTGCAGTTGGTGAAAACTCGAGCCTAGCTCGAGCTAGGTTCATATGACTACAGTTCAACAAAAAATCGAGATTTGCATGTAAAAACTAAAAGACACGCGCCCTAAACTTCTATCAGCCAAATATACCCAACTAAACTACTGCTACCACATGTCCGGCTTAGTTTAAAAAATCACAAAAAAATAGTAACTTCAACAAAATGGCGCATCAGCAAACAGCTCGAGCTAGCGCAGATTGAAAATTTTCATATCTTTCATCCCATGTACGCCACGAGGACGCACAAAACCTTCAGCATCAAGTAACTTAGAACACCCCCCCACAAAAAGGTCCCGCAGCGACTTGAGCTGGGTGAAATTCTCAGGCAGGGATTCCAGCTGCTTGCAGCCCTTCAGGTTCAGTGAATGGAGCCTGGCCAACCGCTCAAACCCAGGCGGCAGTGAGCGGATCAGGCTGTCTTCCACATCCAGGCGACAAAGAAAGGCGGGCTTTGTCACAGAAGCAGGCAGATGCTCTAGTGCGGAGCATTTGGACAGGTTCAGCTCTTGCAGCCTGGATAAAGCACCCAGATTCTTGGGAAGAGAAACCAGCTTCGCAGCATGAACCTCCAGAGTCGTCAAACGCGGAAGCTCCACAATGCTTGCTGGAAGCTCCTTCAGCTCATTGGCTTGGTGAATACGCAGCTGCCGCAGCTGCACCATTGACGACCCAAAGTCCGGAAGCGCCTCTACCCTCCAAGCACTCCCAATGGTCAAGGTACGAAGCTGGGAAAGGTAGGCCAACGGGAACGGAAGCTTCTTGGTGTTGCATGATTCCAGGTGCAGATGCTCCAGACGAGATAAGCCCTTGCTGGCTGTCACGGCCCACGCAACTTCAACCAGTTTCAGGTCCAACCTCCTCAGTTTTGGCAGCACGGTGACATTCGACAGAGGTGTGACGTTTCTGGAGTTCCCAAGGTTGAGCTCCTCAAGAGATTGTGGCAGGAATTCAGGCAATTCCGTCAGGTTCTCACATTCCTCAAACTTCAGCACTTCAAGCCTTGACAAAGATTCCAGCTTCGATGGTACTGCATGGAGCCGTTCGCAGCGATTAACGGTCAGGATTTCAAGGCCAGAAATGCCCGTTAACGACTCTGGAAGCTCCTCAATCTGGCAGGAAATGATGAACAATTCTCGTAAGCTTCTTAGCTTCTGAATGTCCTCCGGAAGTTTAAGAAGCGAGCAGCTATTAAGCTCCAACCGCGTCAGGGAAGAGAGTTGAGTGAAAGATGATGGAAGCAGCTGCTGCGTCTGATTGTCATTCAGGTAAAAAGTCTGGAGCTGTTTAAACCCTTCAATACCCGCTGGAAGCATGATCTGAGGCAACTCCACGAGCCACAGCGTCTTGACAGCTGTCAGGCAGCAGAACCCCACCGGCAATTCGCGAATTGCCGGGCAACGAATCAAAAACAGCGTTTTCAGTGACGAGAGACGGCAGAGGGATTGAGGGAGGTCTTCGAGTGGAAGGCGCTCCAGAACCAAAGTCTTTAGGGCAGTCAGGCATCCGAAGTCTTCGGGCAGGCTGAATAACCCCTTACAGTTGGAAATTTTTAGAAGTTCGAGACGGGTTAGGGAGAGAAGCTCAAGCTCTTCAGGCAGCTGCGCATTAATAGAGTATTGATCCAGGCTTAAAATGCGAAGAGATGGCAACAGCGTGGCAACGTCGTTAGGAAAACGCTCGAGTTCCCCGCAGTTGGTGATCCATAGCTCTTCGAGAGTGGTGCATGGCGAGCCAGAAGGAAACAATCGGTCGAATCGAGGACAGCTATCCAAGAATTTCAGTGATGTCAGGAAAGGAAATTGTGCGATGGAAAACGAATAATCGGTAGAATCGTTACGATAGCAGAATGCATCCGGAAGTGAAAGGCTAGTTAAGGCAGTGAGGTTGGCGAGCTCCTGAAAAGCCATTCCTGTAACGGAAATGTCCAGAACGGTCAGTGAAGATAACTCTACGAGTTCGTGGCGTCTACATAACGAGTCACTCTGAAAAATAGCAAGAGTGTGAAGACGGTTTAGTTGAAAAAACGATTCTGGCAAGACCGTCTCGTCATGGACGCAGGAGAGCTTTAGCTGTTCCAGTTGGGTGCACCGCCGAAATAGAGCGTCCAGAGAAGATGTAGCTAGAGGCTGCACATCTTCCCTATCACCACCCGCGTACAATTCGTCCGAGTCGCCGGATAAGCCAAGAATTTTCAACTTTGGACATGACGAGGCGAGGTGATATAGGAACTCGTCGTTTATGGTTCCTACGAAGACATTGCTGATTTCAAGATGAGTGAGGTTCGGGAAGCAGGTGATAGCGGTCATAATTTCCACGCGGGACACTAAAGGGCTGTCTTTAATTTCAAGTGTGGAGACGTAGCATCGAGCGACACTGCGCCAGCGACGGCAGACTGAAGCGACGAGCAGATTATAGGCGGCCTTTGCGGAGACAGGAAGGGCCGGTAAAGGACCCTCAGTGGGTCTCGACGGTTCACGTTTTGAATAAAGGTATCTCGGCCTAGAACTACAGCCGCTCCACACAGCGTCGATGTTAGGTTGGTAACGAATTGGCTGATCGCTCTGCCAGAAGATCTTCACTAGAAGCTCGTCAGATAAATCGTTGATATGTGTGCGAGACATCTCTAATCTTTAGGGCGCGTTCGTTCTTGCCGAACCTGACAAAGTTTGAACTCAAACTGCTTTGCACCGTGGCAAAACGTTTTTAATTGTATCATACCGTGACGAACCGTTACAAAAGTTCGAACTTTCAGTCAGGTTCGGCAAGAACGAACGCGCCCTTAGACCACAAACACAGTCGGCGAAGACTAGGGAAGAAAGAACGAGCATCTAGGTGAACAAAAGCAGTTAGTGATGAAATCTGAGGAAACCCAAGAAGTGAAACCCGCACTGGCTCTGACTATCTTTGGCTGACTTGTTTCTCCTGATCTGACTCGTCCTTTCGGTTGAGGGTACCAGGCTGGACGGTGGAGATTTGAACTCAAGCTGGCGTTCGTCATTGTGCGACCTTCGATCTTGTTACCAAGTCACGAAAACCTCCAGCAGCTCGTCTCGCGGGAGGCTGCAATTCTGGTCGTTCTAGCTGCTGGTTGGCGAATTTCTGCGTTTCGCGAAACATACATTACACTGTCTATCCCTCCAGTAAACCAAGAAAGTCACACAGCTGCCTGAAAGAGCTACGCTGTGTTTTTTGTTCATCTTGGGTCCTAATCTAGTCTTCCAGTCCTCAGGTTGAAAGGTCACATCTAGCCATTATATGTGTTACATCTCCAAAACCTTATGCCTACATCATCCTCGTTGCACTATTTGTAGCAGCAAAACAATGCACTGGCCCGCTCGTCGTGACACACGCAGCATGAGACGAACTGAGTCCACCCCACGATTTCCTGTGAGCCATATCTGTCATTAACATGCTGACGGGCTCTCTTCCTACAACAGTCCGGTTCAACTCATGAACCTTGGCCTCGTAACATGAACAAGCAACCATTCTCCCCCTACAGACTTTCAGACAACGGGAAACCAATGAAGGTGATGGCAATGAAATGACATCTCACACAAACCCAAGCTGCAATGATGACGATGGAAATGCAATGATGACAATGGAAATGCAATGATGAAGACATGACCTAGCACGCAGCCCATGATAATGAGATGCACCACTTCAGCCACTGCAGTCAGTCACTTACGACAACCCAGCCAGTCCCTTACGATGGAGCAACCACTGCAACCCCCCCTCCTTGACCCCCTCCTCTACTCCCTCCTGTCCGTCCCTGCCCCCCTCTTCTCCCTCTCCCTCCACCACTCGACGACCATCCCCCCTGCCCGGCCCCACTCACCCCATCACCTCCCCCTTGCCCCTGCTGAAACCCCTGCATCCCCTGTAACCCCTGATTCTGCTGAAATCCTTGCCCCTGAATGCCCTGTCCTGTCAACCCCTGTCCCTGCTGCATTCCCTGTCCCTGCCCTTGCCACTGCCCCTGCCCCTGCACCTGCTGCTGACCCCGAGAGCCGAAACCTGAACCCCCACGCCCGCCCCTGTTGCTCACAACACCGACACTCCCACCAGCACCAGCACCAACAGCACCAGCAGCAGTACCAACACCAGTCCCACCAACGTGCACCAGCACCAGCAGCAGCAGCAGCAGCAGCAGCACCGGTGAAGTTGCTGCTGCCGTCGCGGAATTGGCGATCCGAGCCACCCCGGCCGCCTCCTGTGCGACGGTATGAGCCTAGGGGATGGGGAAACACACGGGTGAGGGATGGAGGGGAGAGACAGAAGAGAACAGAAATGATTCTTCAAGTTTCTAGAGAATCGCTGCAGTCACAAGCACAAACACCAACACCAGCACCATCGGCACCAGTAGCGCCACCAGCAGCAGCACCACTCAAGTTGCTGCAGCCGTTGTGGAATTGGCAATCCGCGCACCTCCCGTGCGATGGTACGATTTGGCAAGAGTGATATCCTGCTTCTGCCCATGGGCAACCAGATGACACACCAGAACGGCTTGCCTTGTTTTGTTTGTCTTTTGTTATAACTACTTGTTTGTTTTTCTTTCAAGGGGCTCACCTCGGTTAGTGCTTGAAGCCTTCTTCTCCTCGATCTTCACCTGGAAATTCCCCACCATGATCGTTTGTTTCTGCCAATGGGCAAACACATGAAGGGTTAGGGAACGAGATTCAGGGTTTAAGGGGGGAACCAACCGGCTCACCATTCAGAGCTTCCACAATACATGCCAACAGCTTTTGTTACAACAAATGCGAGACACACAGCCAAAACCCGAAAACTTGCTACTGACCTCCACTGCTGCTTGTGCTGCTGCAGGTTCCTCAAACTCCACAAACGCGTACACAGTGGCGGGGTTGTTGGCCTGATGAGGAAAGAAAGAACGAAATGGGAATGGAGATGTTTTAAACCAACTCAACACTGCGGCTTTCTCTAACTCCACTAACGCGTACACTGTACCAGGGTTGTTGGATTGATGAGGAAAGGGCAAAAGGAAAAAGTCAACGTGAAAACGAGCAAGCCCTAAGACAGGACAAAAGGGAGACAGAAAGAGTCAACTCATAGGTGGATGGATCAGAGAAGAGAAGCACAGAAGGGAGACAAGTAAGTTGACAGCTATAAAAAGACATTGTTGCCTTACAGGGTTATAAGAAAATCACTCTTAGTGTGCGAATATATGGAGTTTCAGGGTGATAATTATGCAGATAGGAAAACAGTACCTTGTTGCCCCGAATTTGGATACGATCTGCCTTCACTGCTCCGAACTGACTGAAGTGCTCTGCAATCCCCTTGGTTGTCATGCGCACTGGCTACTTATGAGACTTCCCATACGCACGCAGGGAGGATACCGTACCTTGTTGCCTCGGATTTGAATACGGTCGGCCTTCACTGCCCCGAACTGACTGAAGTGCTCTGCAATCTCCTTGGCCGTGATGCGCACTGGCAGGTTGCGCACGAACACAGCGCGGCCCTCCCCTGCAGCTGAGAGACGCACGGAGGGGCACAGGGGAAAAGAGAGGGCAGCGAATGCGTTAGGGTTGAACTGACTGAAGTGCTCTGCAATCTCCTTGGCAGTGATCCGCACTGGCAGGTTGCGCACAAACACAGCACGGCCCTCCCCTGCGGCTGAGAGGAACAAAGGGCACACAGAGCAGAGGCGGACGGAGCAGAGGCACGCAGAGCAGAGGCACACGCATAACACATGCAGGGGAAGAAAAGGACAGGATGGGTTGAGTTCAAAGTGCTCTGCAATATCCGCACTGGCAGGTTGCGCACAAACACAGCGCGGCCCTCCCCTGCAGCTGTGTAGCACACAGAGCAGGCCACACAAAGGGGACGGGCAGGAGGAGGAGAATGAAGTTGAGTTCAAACTGATAGGCGTTATCGTTGGCAGTGAAGGTGTTAGCTGTGACGCACAAAGGGGCCCACGCAGGAGAAGGGCAGCAGCCACAAAAGGATCAGTATCAGACCATGCAAAACAAGCACACCCCAGCCCCTCCTGCCCTGCCCTGCCCTGCCCACGCCTCTCCTATCCTCCGCCTACAGTCGTCCCTACCTTCGTCAGCAGCATTGGTATCCTCTGACGCCCCACCAGCAGCACCAGCAGCGAACCCAGGAGCAGAGGCCAGCAAACCAGCAGAAAACCCAGCTGCTGCCTGAGACGGTGCTGCCTCTAGCCCCCCAAACGCCCCAACCCTCCCCTCACCTCTCCTACGGTCAACCCAAGTCAACGCGTTCGGCATACCTTCGTCAGCAGCATTGGTATCCTCTGACGCCCCACCAGCAGCACCAGCAGCGAACCCAGGAGCAGAGGCCAGCAAACCAGCAGAAAACCCAGCTGCTGCCTGAGACGGTGCTGCCTCTTGCCCCCCAAACGCCCCAACCCTCCCCTCACCTCTCCTACGGTCAACCCAAGTCAACGCGTTCGGCATACCTTCGTCAGCAGCATTGGTATCCTCTGACGCCCCACCAGCAGCACCAGCAGCGAACCCAGGAGCAGAGGCCAGCAAACCAGCAGAAAACCCAGCTGCTGCCTGAGACGGTGCTGCCTCTTGCCCCCCAAACGCTCCCGCGCCCCCAATCGCCGCGGCAGGGAGCAGTGGCGGCTGCCTGGGCGCGCCCACCCCCAGGGGTGCAGCTGCGGGGGGAGTGGCGGAGCCAGGCGCGGAAGCTGCGCCCGCGGATGCGCCTGCGGGTGAGGCAGCTGCGGATTGCGCGCGCATGGCTTGCAGCTGTGGGTGGGTGGGGGGAATGGGAAGGGGCGGGGGGTTAGGAGGCGAGCGGGGGGGAGAAGTAGAGGGGTGTCTGCTGAGAGGCAGGAAGGGGGGGGAGGGGGAACGTGGGGGGAATGGGACCACAGCGTATGCTGCGGCAGACAGACTGGGTTCGTATGGCTTGCAACTAAGCAGGTGGGAGACGAGGGAGGGAAGGATGGCGTAACACGACGCGGAAGGTGAACCAAGAAAGGTACGGGTTGAGGGTTTATAGAAATGGGGATATTAACCTGAGAAACGAAACCTGGAGACTTACAATAGACGCATACGACTTCTTGGGTGCGGGTTCATCGGACGCAGCCGCAGCCGCAGGAGCTGCCGCTACAGCTGGTGCTGCCGCCGCCGCTGGAGCTACAGCTGCTACAGGCGCTACCGCTACAGCGGACGGTGCTGCTGCTGCTGTGGGTGCCGTTGTTACAGCTTGTGCTACAGCTGACGCTGCTGCCCCTGGCGCTTGAGTCGCCACTCCCGCAGCCGCTTCCCCGCCCGCAGGACTCGGAAGGACAGCAGGCGCGGAAACCGGGGCGGAAGACACAACCGAAGGTTCCGCCTTCTCCGCTTCGGCCGCTGCTGCGGCGGCTCCCGCTCCCGCCCCTTGACCCTGCCCTTGACCCTGATTCACGGAAACAACGGATTCAGGCACCTCCCGGATCACCTGAACCTCCTCCCCTGCTGCGCCGTCGTCCGCGGCCGGGGGAGCACCGGCTCCGCCGGCTGCGGCGCTGGGCGCGGCGGCAGCCGCGGACGCTTGGGACGCCTCGTCGACCGTTACATCTCGCACGGCGTGATCCACAGATGTAACCTCCCGCGATCCCGCTGCTTGATCCGCCGCGTGCCCGTTCACCAGACCTGCCTGAGACCCACTCCCAGCTGCAGCAGCTGCACCAGATCCAGGGGCGGACGCCGCCGACTTAGTCCCGCCGCCGACCGCATGTTTAACTACGGCGGGCGGCTGCGGCGGCGGCGCGTCTTCTAGGAACCGGAAGATGTCGTTAAGGACGTAGAAGCCGTTCTGCTGCGGCGCGAGGAAGAAGCTCTGCACGAAGCCGCGGCGCTCGCCCGGGCCGCCCGAAGAGCTGCTGTAACAGTGCGCGCCGGTTACCACCACGAGAACGCCGCCGGAGAGAGATTCTTGGCAATCCACGGATTTGATCTCCGCCTTGACTTCGCATGAATCCAACGACATCACCTTGGTGTGGATACCCTGAACACGCCATGAGCAAGTGCGTGGAAGGCAAACGCACATACAAGCCACCCACGCCATACGAGCCATGCAAGACACACGCGCCATACCAGTCAACCAAGCCAACCCACCCGAGCCAGGCCATTACCCATTCATGCCATACAGATCATGAAAACCGCACAAGCATATCATCCGCACACACACACCATATACACACACACCACACATTCGTGAGGAATACCATAAACCGGTTACCAATATTGGATGGATCGTTATCGAAAAATAGAAATTGCACGCTTCTTCAAGGTTAGTACACTAGAGCATTCCTTCCTGACCTTCACATTGATGGAGCTCTTTCATTACCTTGCTGCTACTAACGCTTTTTCAACCCAAGTGCTTGTACCGAACAGATCTCATGACGTCTTTTACGAACTCCGTCACGGCGATACGCACCTGCATGGTCGTCACTAATCCTTCAATCCCGACGAATTTCGTCACGGCGACACACACCTGCATGGTCGTCACGGTTTCCCCGGGAATGCCGAGGCGCTCGGCGCGTGTGAATTTGCTCTCGTCGACGTAGAACTTGTGCACGTCGTGCGGTTGCGTGTGCATCACGGTATAGTACTGCGACGCGAACGCCTTTCCGACCTGCGAGTGAGGGGAGATCAGGGAAACGGCGTTGCTTCATACGCCTTGAAAGTCGTTATACGACGCAAGCGCCTTGCTGACTTGGAGATGATAAAACCTCTGGAAATTACCGTTAAGAATTTAATCCTCTAAACTAGATCCATACTAGAGGACCGGCGGGATCAGCGGGCGAACCTCACCGGAGCTTTACTAACGACACGTCAAGGGTAAGATCAGTGTCGTCGCTGTAAAAGCTGGATTCGAGCTCGGATCTTAAGAAGCGTACTTAGTTGATCTTTAGTTAAGACCCGAAACCTGATCGCTCGCGAGTCGTGTCCTACGGCTTACCTCGAAAGCCCAGTCGGCCGTGGCTGCAGGGCCAGAAGCGGCAGGACCAGAGCCGTCGGACACCATGGTGCCAGCGTAAGTATTTATTTAACGACTGATAGAAAATAAAAACTGGTCTAAAGTAAAACTCCCGAAGTTGCGGAGCCTACAACAGCAGCAGCTAAAGGGATCAGGGTACAAGGAGTCCACGGATCAGGACAGAAATCTGAAACGAGGGAGGAAAGAAAACGGAAACAGGAGCTGAAACCTGCAAGGTGACCTAGGGAATTCAGATCAGCAGAAAAGCTAGATTCAGAGAAAGCGAAAACCGAGATTCAGGGAATAGATAGTTCGTTGGCGGGCTGGTAGCGGCAGCACAGGGTGAGTGCGTGCTGGGAGGGCTCCAGCTCAGACGAAACTTGCCAGCTTCCAGAAGCGACGGTTGCGGTGGAAGAGGGTTGTGCGAACTCGCGAAATCGTTCAGCGAGAGTGTTACTGCAATTCGCGGGAGGGAGTTGGTGAGGGCTAGATCTGAGTCCGTCGTGGGCTTGGGTCACAGGCGTCGCAGAACTTCGGCATTGGGAAAATCTTGATTTGTTTGAGGATGATTTGGTAAAAATATAGAACACTTTTCATCATACGAAATTCTGCCAAGTATATGCCTACTGGTTGTAGAAGCATCAAAGAACTCTACTTGCTGGAAAACAAGCATAACTCCTCCTTAAATAAGGCCGAAACTAAACAAATAAACAAATGAAAAAAAAAAAAAAAACCTAGGGCGTGTTCCTGCAAATCGGTACGACGAAATGGATGTCAACCTCTGCATCCATCCAGTGTGCCATCATATGACAGCCCGTACTGAAGTGAAGGAAAACGCCCTGAGTCATGATGCCATCGTGGACGTATTATTGGTCTCTAATTGTCTTTTGGACCAAGGCCATGCTTTGGAGCGTGTCTGTGAGACCCTATAACACCAACACACCCATACGTCACATAACAGGGGGTGGATTAGCCATGCAAACGAGCAAACAAACAAACAATAACAATCAAAAGAATCAGAAAAGACAAACAGTATCAAGACCTGACACACCCTCCCAGTTGCAACGCAACTTACCTGCAATTCTCGAATATATGCTGCTGTCGCTTCTAGCACGGATGCCATATCAGTTGGAGCTGACACAGGAGCCGGGACCAGCAACCGAAGGGTTTCCACCGCATCACTGGAGATGAAGGAAGGAGAGGGAGAGGAAGGGACAAGTGGGGATTTAAGAAGTTGGACAGAGAGAGAAACCAACAAGCGAAGACTTTCAACCGCATCACTGGAAATGAAGGAAGGGGAGGGGGAAAAAGGCAAGTGTGATCAAGAGGGAAATAGAGGAAAACGAAGTCAACAAATAACATTCTTTTTTTAAAGCCATTGAAAAGAGACCAGATATTGGTCTTGTTGGTTCGTAATTTATTCCTGTCCCCAACTCACCTCACTCGCTTCCGGCGAGATCGTTCCGATTTGATTCGATTGCGTCTCCTCCTCACAGAAACCCCTTTCACGCCTGTCCTCTTGCTCCCACTCCCCTCCAATTCCTTCCCCTCACCAACAGCAACCTCACAGATCGCAGCACCAGCCTCAGGCTGCATTACAGTCACACAACCGATAGTGACACCTCCCACAATCCCACCTCCCACAATCCCACCTCCCACACTCCCCCCTTCCACACTCCCCTCTCCAACCATCCCACCCCCCACACTCCCCCCTCCCACACTCCCACCCCCCACACTCCCCCCTCCCACACTCCCACCCCCCACACTCCCCCCTGCCACACTCCCCCCTCCCACATTCCCACCCCCCACACCCCCCTCTCCAACCATCCCACCCCCCATGGCAATCCGCTCCCTCACAGCCCTCGTGAACTCCTCAAGGCCCTGGAGAGGCGGTGCTGTTGATGCCACCCCCCCCGGATGCACGGAGAAAAATTGTTCCTTGCAGGTGAGATTATCACCAGATCCACCCTCCCCCTCCCTCCTCCTCTTGCTGCGGCTTCCGCTGCTGATGCTGCTGCTGCTGCTGCTGCTGTGGCTGTTGTGGCTGCTGCTGCTGCTCATGCCTCGGCTATCACAGGCCTCTAAGGGAGTGGCAGCAGCGACTGTTGTAGCTGCTACAGCTGGGCTGGTTAGTGGGACTGGCGTTGCTGCTACAGCCGGGCTGGCTGGTGGGGTCTTCACTGTTGCTACAGCCAGATTTGAAGGCGGGGATGGTGTAGCGGCTACAGCCGGGCTGGCTGATGTGGCTGGCGCTGCTGCTACAGCCGGGCTGGCAGGTGGGGTTACCTTTGCTGCTACAGGCAGATTTGGGGAAGATTGTACGGGGAAAGCACGGGCGGGTAGTTTGGGCTCCGCAAAGGGGGATGGTGTGGGAAGAGCAAAGCTAAGAGGAGGTACGGCGTCACACTGGGGCAGTTTATGAGGCGCCCCAAAAATAGATGACGTGGGGAGAGAGCTAAGTGGGGGTGCAGGGGCACACTGGGGCAGACACAGACGAGGAAACACTGCTGGGCGGCACGGGTCGGGCGGAGTGGGTTGTCCCCACCTGCCAGGTGGTGTGGAAGATGGTGTGGGAGGAGGGAATCCCAGGGGAGGTGCAGGGACACACTGGGGCAGACACAGAAGTGGAAACACTGCTGGGCGGCACGGGTCGGGCGGAGTGGGTTGTCCCCACCTGCCAGGTGGCGTGTGGGCGAGACGAAGCGGTTGAGAGGGGTGTGGGACAGCTGGACTACTAGGCGCACAGGGTACTGCTGCTGTTGTGGGGGCTGATGGTGGGAGAGGTGCGGATAAGTTTCTCCTAATCGATGCAACTGTTGCAGAAAGCAGGTTCGGGGAAGTCCCAGCATTTCTCTCCACAAGATGAAGCGGTTGGGAGGGATGTGGATTGGTCGGGTGACTGGCCGTACAGGCTACTGCGGCTGCAGAGACTGCTGATGGGGGGAGAGGTTCGGATAGTTCCAAGGCTCGAAGATCACTGCCACGGGCCGAGCCTCCGAGGGTCGGTATGGAGCTGTAGCGGGTTGTAGCAGCAGCGTCAGCAGGATTGGGTGGTAGGCGGCAGCTGCAGCAAGCTGCTGGTTGAGCCGCACTGGGGGACTCTGCTGAAACCCCAATGGGTAGTATGGGGTTGTAGCAGGCTGTAGCAGCAGCAGTGTCAGGGTTCGAAGTGGCGGCTGTAGCATGTGCTTGCTGTGGTAGACATGGTGGTGCTGCCGGCTGTAGCAGGGCAGGCAAGCTACAGGCAGGGCCGGCTGCAGCAGAAGCAGCGGTTGAAGTCAGAGTGGCGGTTGTAGCATGTGCTTGCTCTGGTGGACGTGGTGGTGCTGCTGCCGGCTGTAGCAGGGAGGACAGACAGCTATGTTCATGTGAGGGGGAGACCGCAGCAGGTGAGACGGCAGCAGGTGAGACGGCAGCAGGTGAGACGGCAGCAGCAGGGAAGGCTGAAGCAGCAGAGGTGAAGGTGGTATCTGTGGGACACATGGACTCCACACATGCAAACGTTGACCTGGCGTGGTCAAACGCCGCTGCCACGTCAGCAGGAATCTCCCCAGAAAGCCGGAACGGTTCCAGCATTGCCTCGTCAAATGGGGGTATTTCCCCTAAATGATACCCTGGGTCACCCAACAGGGGTATTTCTCCTGAGGTTTTGAAAGGGGGAATTTCCCCTGAGCCATGGCAGGAAGGAGGAAGGGCGGGCAGGTTTATAATGCTGCTGCTTTCAAATTGGGGCATTTCCCAATCCGAGCGAGCGTAATCTTGCAGAGGAATCCTCGCAATCGACGGTGAATCCGAGCCGTTCATCGCACCAGCACTGTTGGTCCTGTCCGTCCGATCGCTCATCAAGAGATCCTGATCGTCCATCGCAGCTCACGTAAGTTTTCCCTCCGAAGCCTGACTTAATCCGGAACCGCAATAAAGCCAGCTTCTGTCTCTTAAGAACGTCGACTATCGGAGTACCACTGCGTAAGAAGCAAACTTAGTAGCCTTAGAGACCTCGACCTTCTTAGGCAAAATAAACAGCTGAGCCGGATGCAAAAATTAAACAGGAAGCTTAAGGCGGCGACGAACCGCTTAATGGAGAGGAATGTAACCGTCGCACGGGAAGCGCCCCCTGAAGGAACAAATGCACCAAGGAAAATCGTTGACTGGTTTTCGTGCAATTGTCCTGCGCTTTCCGGGTGTCTCCGTAGTTCGAGCCTGCGACTCCCACGGTTAACGGGAGAGCATTTTTGCAGGAAGTATGCACGAACGAGACTTCCAGGTTCGTGCGGCGAGATACTATGTGGCCTTGTATAAAATGTTCCTAGTCTTAAATCTTGACTCATTGGCGAAGACAAGATATCAAGAGCGCACCGCGAAGTGGCGGTGCAATTAAGGAAAAGACACGTGGCAGACGACGAATCCATTGTTTTTGCGAGCTAAGAATGCGAGGAATAGCAGACAGAATGCGCCAAGCTTCTGCTAGATTCTAGCTTCTGCGATAAGACTTGAATACTAGTGCCTCAGGTGAATCCAGGCAAAACCAGTTGTGCGGTTCAGGGAGATTCGATGCTTTCCTACACGTTATGTAATCATGCTAGAGTGGTTAGGTAGGCTTTGGAAGTGGTATGACGCCAAAACCCGAGCAAAGGTGTTCTGACGATGAATTAGGCGAAAGTCGTCGTGAATCTTCCGCGGATGGTTACGAAGCTTGAGTCTGTCGCAGATGTTCGTGTTTGCTGAATGTGGACTTGTTTTGGCTGCGTGTGCCATCCACACGCTGGTCCACCGACATGAAAAACATTCACCGACAGTGCTAATAACGATTTCCAGCCAATAGGAATCGGCAAAAATCACGTTTCACTTCTACAGAAATTATTAGTGGGTGGGATTTTAGAAGCTACATTAGAACAAGGCTTGATAAAAACCATGTAGAAACTGAACTACATACCCTCAAACATGATATACTACTCCAACAAATGTTATCATACTGCTGCATCCCCCAACCACTCCTTCAACACATCACACCCACAGATTTCTTGAGACGACGCTTAAAACTTGACACATCGACCATACTCTCCTCTTCTCTTTCCACTCTTGACCCCATTAACCCTCCCTCCTTTCCTTTCACGATTTATTATCACCTCCCTCTCCATCCGCATTCCTAGTGCCATCCGCTTCTCCCCCCTCAGTAATATCCGCACTCCCCCCTTCTCCCCCCCTCTCGTCCTCTTGTAACCCACCCTTCTCGTTGGCCTCCCCAGCTTTGTCACCCACACCCTCCTCTCCTTTCATCTCCTCGTCTATATCCTCCCTCTCTTTCTTCACCTCCTTCCCCTCTTCTTCCTCATCCATCTCACCATTCCTTGTGTACTCCTGCTCTCCCTCCTTCTCTCCACCCTCTAGCTTCCCATCCTTGGTCTCTCCTCCCTCTTTACCTTCATCCTCCTCTTTCTCATCCTTCACGATTCCCCACCCTTTGCTCCCACCCTCCTCCTTCTCCTCCTTATCTTCCCTACCTTCCTTCCCCTCCTCCTCCTTCCCCTGCTTTCCCTCCCCCTCCTTCCCCTCCACATCCTTCCCCTCCCCATCCTTCCCTTCTTTAACCTCTCCGTCCTTCCCCTCCTTCCCCTCCCCTTCCTCCCCTTCTTTAACCTCTCCATCCTTCCCCTCCTTCCCTTCCCCCTCCTCCCCTAGATCAGCTTCATACTCCGAAGCAGGAATGTGGGGGGCAGCCGAAAACACTCCCGGCACAGGCCGACCGCCCCAGTCCTCGGGCAGGTGCGAAAATTTCGGCCCAAAGTTGAAGCGCACGGTGGCGCCCTCTGATTGGTCGGGCAGCGTGAAGAGGGAAGCTGCCGGGAAGTATCTGCCCGCTGGAATGTCTTTAAAGGCCGTGCCCAGACACACCCCGTTGCGGAAAAACACAATTTCACTTCCTGTGGAAAAGCGGTGGAAGGGCGGCGGAGAAAAGATCATGCTTGCGTTCATCTCATGCATTTATCTTTTATGCATGAACAAAGCTGCATTATGCAAGCTGCCATCTTCAATGTTTAATGACCCACCTTCCCTTGTAAGTTACCTCACAGTGGGGCTCAAACAGAGGCGTAGGGAGGGAGAAGTGCTTGAGAAACGTATTCACAAGGCGTAAGGAAGGAATGGAAATGCAGAAACCCTCACCAGGGACGGGAGGCTCTCCTCTTGCGCTCTCCTCTCTCTCCACGTAGCACGGCTGTCCCTTCCACACTTACAACTCATATACCATGCGCTAATCAGGGAGAGAAGGGAGAGAAGCATTTACCAGGGACGGCAGGGCCTCCCCTTGCGCTCTCCTCACTCTCCACGTAACACGGCTGTCCCTTCCACGTCACCAGCGGCTGCGGCTTGTCAAGGCACAGGAAAGGCATACCATGCACATACCATAATGAAAAGGGAGAGAAGCACCTACCAGGGACGGGAGGGCCTCCCCTTGCGCTCTCCTCACTCTCCACGTAACACGGCTGTCCCTTCCACGTCACCAGCGGCTGCGGCTTGTCGAGGCACAGGAAAGGCATACCATGCACATACCATAATGAAAAGGGAAAGAAGCACCTACCAGGGACGGGAGGGCCTCCCCTTGCGCTCTCCTCACTCTCCACGTAACACGGCTGTCCCTTCCACGTCACCAGCGGCTGCGGCTTGTCGAGGCACAGGAAAGGCATACCATGCACATACCATAATGAAAAGGGAAAGAAGCACCTACCAGGGACGGGAGGGCCTCCCCTTGCGCTCTCCTCACTCTCCACGTAACACGGCTGTCCCTTCCACGTCACCAGCGGCTGCGGCTTGTCGAGGCACAGGAAAGGCATACCATGCACATACCATAATGAAAAGGGAAAGAAGCACCTACCAGGGACGGGAGGGCCTCCCCTTGCGCTCTCCTCACTCTCCACGTAACACGGCTGTCCCTTCCACGTCACCAGCGGCTACGGCTTGTCGAGGCACAGGAAAGGCATACCATGCACATACCATAATGAAAAGGGAAAGAAGCACCTACCAGGGACGGGAGGGCCTCCCCTTGCGCTCTCCTCACTCTCCACGTAACACGGCTGTCCCTTCCACGTCACCAGCGGCTGCGGCTTGTCGAGGCACAGGAAAGGCATACCATGCACATACCATAATGAAAAGGGAAAGAAGCACCTACCAGGGACGGGAGGGCCTCCCCTTGCGCTCTCCTCACTCTCCACGTAACACGGCTGTCCCTTCCACGTCACCAGCGGCTGCGGCTTGTCGAGGCACAGGAAAGGCATACCATGCACATACCATAATGAAAAGGGAAAGAAGCACCTACCAGGGACGGGAGGGCCTCCCCTTGCGCTCTCCTCGCTCTCCACGTAGCACGGCTGTCCCTTCCACGTCACCAGCGGCTGCGGCTTGTCGAGGCACAGGAAAGGCATACCATGCACATACCATAATGAAAAGGGAAAGAAGCACCTACCAGGGACGGGAGGGCCTCCTCTTGCGCTCTCCTCGCTCTCCACGTAGCACGGCTGTCCCTTCCACGTCACCAGCGGCTGCGGCTTGTCGAGGCACAGGAAAGGCATACCATGCACATACCATAATGAAAAGGGAAAGAAGCACCTACCAGGGACGGGAGGGCCTCCCCTTGCGCTCTCCTCACTCTCCACGTAACACGGCTGTCCCTTCCACGTCACCAGCGGGCGCGGCTTGGGCGCCAGCCTGGCGCCACCTGGCAGGCTGATGTAGCAGCCAATCACGTCGCCCTCCACGAACCCGGGGGCCCGCTTGCTTATGTCTCCCGCAAGCTGGGGTTGGGAACGGTTGTGAGTGGTTTCAGGGTGTGCAGATGCACTTCCAGGTGGATCTTTCCTGTCAGGTGCATTTTCCATGTCACCAGCAGCAGCGGCTGCAGCAGCAGCCGCAGCAGCAGCAGCAGCAGCGGCAGCAGCAGCAGCCGCAGCAGCAGCAGCAGTGGCAGCAGCAGCAGCAGCAGCAGCAGGAGAAGCAGCAGCAGCAGCAGCAGTAACACCAGCTGGAGGCAGAGGAGGGAAATCCAGCGACCCACCAGCATACGCCCTCCTGACCGCCTGATGCACCACACTCCCGTCGACATCCCGAAACCCAAACCCCCACGCGTCAAACCCCACGGGAGTCTGCATGTCGGCTCGCTGGGTGGCCCAGCCTATGCGGGCGTGCCCTGTGTTCCCCAGATGCTGCACGTGGATTTCGAAATACCACGCCCCTTCCAGCACTCCTCTTGTCGCCAGCACCATGCGATAGCCCTTGCTGCTCGTTGCTGACAGCCTGTCCTCGCTTAACTGGGGGACGGAGGGAAGGGGAGGGACGTGGGGCAGAGGGAAAAGGAGAAGATTTGAAGGGAATGTGTGCCCCCACGCGTCGAGCCCCACGGGCGTCTGCATGTCGGCCCGCTGCGTGGTCCAGCCTATGCGGGTGTGGCCTGACTGCCCCAGACGCTGCATGTGGATTTCGAAGTACCACGCGCCTTCCATTACCCCTCTGGTTGCTAGAACCATGCGGTAGCCCTTGCTGCTTGTTGCTGATAAGCCGTCCTCACTCAGCTGGGTGTGAGGGAAACAGCAATGCGGGCAACAAGGATGCGAGGAACGGGAACGAGAATGAGAGGAAAGAGAATGAGGGAAGGGAGAGGGGTGAGGGCATGTCGGCCCGCTGCGTGGCCCAGCCTATGCGGGTGTGGCCTGACTGCCCCAGATGCAGCAGGTGGATCTCGAAATACCACGCCCCTTCCACCACGCCTCTGGTTGCTAAAACCATGCGGTAGCCCTTGCTGCTTGTTGCTGACAGCCTGTCTTCACTTAGCTGGGTATGAGGAAATCGGGAGGAGAAAACAGCGGAAGAGGGACACGGGAATGAGGGGAAGGGAGAAGGTGAAGGGCATGTTTGCATGTCGGCCCGCTGCGTGGCCCAGCCTATGCGGGCGTGCCCTGTGTTCCCCAGATGCTGCACGTGGATTTCGAAATACCACGCCCCTTCCAGCACTCCTCTTGTCGCCAGCACCATGTGATAGCCCTTGCTGCGCGTGGCAGACAGCCTGTCATCACTCAACTGCAATGAGAGGAAGGAGGAGGGAGGGAGGGAGGAAGGGCGAGAGGGAATGTGGGGCACAGGGGAGATCACTTTTGAGGCGCTTCAAAAGTCGCCTCAAAAGAGGGAGGAAGGGCGAGAGAAAATGTGGGGCATAGGGGAGATCACTTTTGAGGCGCTTCAAAAGTCGCCTCAAAAGAGGGAGGAAGGGCGAGAGAAAATGTGGGGCATAGGGGAGATCACTTTTGAGGCGCTTCAAAAGTCGCCTCAAAAGAGGGAGGAAGGGCGAGAGAAAATGTGGGGCATAGGGGAGATCACTTTTGAGGCGCTTCAAAAGTCGCCTAAAAAGAGGGAGGAAGGGCGAGAGGGAATGTGGGGCATAGGGGAGATCACTTTTGCGGCGCTTCAAAAGTCGCCTCAAAAGAGGGAGGAAGGGCGAGAGGGAATGTGGGGCACAGGGGAGATCAAGCGCCCTCCACCACCCCTCTGGTCGCCAGCACCATTCGATAGCCCTTGCTGCTCGTGGCTGACAAGCGGTCCTCACTCAACTGGGTGTGCGAGGAGTATGGGGCATGGGGACAGGAAGAAGTGTGAACGGCCCTGACTGCCCCAGATGCTGCATGTGAATTTCAAAGTACCACGCCCCTTCCATTACCCCCCTTGTTGCCAGCACCATGCGATAGCCCTTGCTGCTTGTTGCTGACAGCCTGTCCTCACTCATCTGGGGATGAGGGAAACGGGACACGGGAGGAGAAAACATTGGATGAGGGAAAATGGGAACGAGGGGAACAGGGATGGGATGAGGGAAGGGAGAGGGGTGAAGGGCATGTGGGCTCGCTGTGTGGCCCAGCCTATGCATATGTGTCCTGACTGCCCTAGATGCAGTATGTGGCTCTCACAGTACCATGCGATTGCCTTTGCTGCTTACCTGGATCTGTGCCGCCCGGAACACGCGTGATAAGACAACAGGCTTATCAGGCCCATCCTCTATCTCCAGCCCCTTGGGCGCAGGTACCACCTTCACCAGATCCGCCTCCTTCCTCTTGTCCCCCATCCCCGTTATAAGCCCTCCCCCTGCCGCCCCTGCACCAGCCAATCCCCCCTTGGGTCCCCCATGTCCCCCCCTTCCTCCCCCCTTCTTGCCCGTTTTCCTAGAGCGTGGGGGGAGACCTTTCCGCTTCTTCCCCCCTTCTGCTGTCCGTGCTGCCCCACCCACACCTGCTTTTTCACCTGCCCCATCAGCCTCCCCATCCGCCCCTAATTTTTTCGTCTGCTCGTCACTCCCGCCATCCTCCTCCTTCCCAGGCGTTCCCCCACCGTTCTCCCCAGCGTTCCCTCCCTTGCCATCCTTGCTCCCCCCTGTCTTCTTAGCCAGTTCTCGAGGCTTCAAGTCTATAAGAACGTATGATATGTCTTTCTTGCGGGTTACCATGCTCCCCGACGGTTCCCCCTTCTCTCCCTTCTCTCCTTTCTCTCCCCCCTCCCCCTTCTCTCCCTTCTCTCCTTTCTCTCCCCCCTCCCCCTTCTCTCCCTTCTCTCCTTTCTCTCCCCCCTCCCCCTTCTCTCCCTTCTCTCCTTTCTCCCCCCCCTCCCCCTTCTCTCCCTTCTCCCCTTTCTCCCCCAACTCTCCCTGTCGCTGCTCTCGTTCCCCTCCCTCTTCCTGATCCCCCTTCTCCCCGTCGCCCCCATTCTCCCCTTTTCCCCCCTTCTCCCCCTTCTCCCCCTGCTCCCCCCGCTCCCCACGCGTCCTAGCTCCGTCGTCCCCCTCCTCATCTCCTCCGCCGCCTCCTCCCCCTTCACCATCTTTACTAACCGTTTCCTCATTACCTCCCCCCTTCCCATCCTTCTCAGATTTTCTCGGTTCTCTACCATCACTGCTCTCCTCTCTCCGCTCCTTCTCCCCCTGTTTCTCCTCGTTACCATCTCCCTCACGCATATCCCCGTCGCCCCTGTCTTTTCGAACCTCGCTGGCCTTCCCCCCTTCTCTCTTGTCCACATCTCTCACTTTCCCGTTCCCCAATTTCCTTCTCTTTTTCTTCGCCAGTCCCTCCCCCTTCCCGTCCACTGCATCGTCCTCCCCAACCCCTCCCGTATCCGCCACATTACGCTTCCGCGATTTCCTCGCAGCTTCGCTCAGCTTCATCACCTTCCTCGGACATTCCTCCTCCAAAACGTCCTCGATTTCATCGCCATCGTTATCGTCACCGCCGTCGTCCTCCTCCTCGTCCAAAAGATCGATACACTCCTCCTTCTCCTCCTCTATCGTAACATCCTCGTCATTATCTTCCTCGATCTTAACACAGTCCTCCTCATCCTCATCCTCCTTTCTCTCCTCCTCCTTTTCTCCAACCTTCTCTTGGTCGCTTCTTCCACTCTCCCGTTTCCCCTTTTCTACCCCAACCTCAGACGATGCCGTCTTACCAGGGTCCCCGTTGGGCTCCCCGCCATCATCACCCTCATCTCCCCTGCTTCGCGCCTCCCTCTCCTTGTCTTCTCCACCACCCCCTTCATTCTTCCCGCCATCTTCATCGTGCCGCGAAACCTCGTCATCTTCTCTGCCCCGCTTCATCACTGCGACGACTGTTTCAGACTAGCGTTGCTGATCTACTCCCCCGCCTAGTACTGCAGGATGGCGTCGAGTATCCCCCACCTGCTGCTCGCTTATCGACTAAACTAGCTTCGCTTATCAGCGAAAGATAAGATCAGAACGCCGACGCTCGTCGATCCAGCATTCGCAAGCAGAAGCCCACGGAAAGCCTAACGCAGTGCTGATCCTAGAGTGATCGGGGACCAGAGTGAAAGAATAATGAATCATGACTAGCATGACTAGCAGGAGGGTGAGCATGGAGGGGAGAGGATATCGAGGTTGCAGTCGAATTTGGCGGGAAACCGAGAGAAATTTAAATACCTCAATTTGAGACGATAGTGCAGAGCCTTTGCTGAAATTTGTAAAAGGGCACATTCTATCGCGAAAAATCTTGTGCGGAATTTGCGACATCGAACTGATCTTTATCACAAGCCCCTTGTTTACAAAATTACGAACCACCGAGTAATGATAAGGGGCTGAATAATAGCGAGGATTATTTCAACCTGGGCTATTTTCACCGTTGTGTCAGTGACCTGAGTAGAGGTATAGAAAAGGTAGCCTCCTATTTTCTCCTCTGCTCTGCATTCGTCTGAATGGTGCCATTTGTTACCATCCGAAACTCCCGAGGCATTCCATCGGCCATCGCAGCCGTCCGATTTGCCGCCCGGACAGCATCCACGACCCCCGTCGCCTTTTCGCCAAAGTTCGCCACCAGCTCTGTTACTGGCAGTCCATCATCGCGAAGTCAGATCGTCCCGGCCTTAGGCATACGCTGCAGGCGTTTAGCAAGAAACGTCCATCCGTGTTGTGCTATATCCGTTGTTCTTCCGAGAATTGTAGTCCCTGCATTTGTGACTGTATCGAGGTCTCGAACATTAGCGACTGTTACAACAATGGCCGGTGGCGGGCGGAAACCCGCTGCTCCACGTACAAACTCCGAGGCACCGCACAGCACCGGTCTTCGCCGCTCCACGCGGGCAGCAGCAGCAGCTTCCGCCGCAGCCGCTCGTTCCGGCGACGACCCCGCCGTTGACGACGCCGCGATTGGCGCTGCGACTGGCGGAAAAAGCGCGGAGGCGGAAGCCGCGGGAAAAGGGCGCGCGGGGAAAGCGGGGGTCAAGCGCGCGAGAGAGGTACCCAGCGGGAGCGGGAAGGGGGAAGCGGGAAAGGGCGCGGTTGGGGGAGGTTGGACGGGGGGGAGGGCGCGGTCAGTGGGAAGAGGGGGCGTGGCAGCAGGGGGAAAAGGGAAAAGGGGAAAAGCCGCAGCGCTGAGCGAGGAAGAAGAGGAGGAGGAGGAGGAGGAGGAGGAAGAGGAGGAGGAGGAAGTGGAGGAGAAGGGGAAGAAGAAAGGCGGGAAGAGGGGAAGACCCGCGGGCCCACGTGGCCAGCAGGCCAAGGGGAGCAAGCCAGTAGAATCAGGACACGTGGAGTCACAGGAACCAGCGTCACAACCTTTAGAGTCACAGCCGTTAGAGTCACAGGAAGAAAAAGAATCCGTCCCCGAAGGGCAGGTGAAAAAAGGCCGGGGTAAGGCCGGGCCGCAAAAAGCCGGGCAGCGAAAAAAACCCGGGCAGCTGACGAAAAAAGAGCAGATGGAGATCGCCAAACGAATGGAGGCAGATGCCGAAGCTAGTGAGGAGCCTTGGAAGGTTCTGGTTCACCGAAAGCTGCAACCTGATTGGTTCCCGTATGATCCCAAGACGATGCGGAAAGCTGACGTGGATGGGGAGGGGAGTGAGCTGGCAAGGGGGGGAGGGGAGGAAGGGGAGAAGGGAGGAGGAGGGAAGAAGGTATGGCGTCTGGTGTCTTGGAATGTGAATGGGTTGAGAGCGTTGCTTAAAGGTGGAGAGGGGGAGGGGGAAGGGGAGGGGAGTGGGGGGAAGGGTACAGAGAAGGGGAAGGGGAAGAAGAAAGGGGGAAGGGGAGTAAGTAAGGGGAAGGCTGGCGGAGGGGAGGAGGGGGAATCGCAGGATCCAGCTGGCGAGTCGCAGGATCAGGAGGTTACGCTGGCTGCTGACGTGGCTGCTGACGTGGCAGCTGACGTGTCTGCTGACGTGGCAGCAGAGGCGACCGTGCTGTGCCGATTGGCCGAGAGGGAGCGTGCTGACGTGGTGTGCCTGCAGGAGACGAAGCTCCAGGAGAAAGACGTGGGGGAGATTCAGAGGGCTCTGTCTCCCACCTTTCCCCTCTCCTATTGGAGCTGTAGCACTGCCAAGCTTGGGTATTCCGGCACTGCTGTGCTGTCTAAGGTCAGTCAGTGGGATCTTCTTTTGTGTTGTTGTTCGAAGCTGCAGGAGAAAGACGTGGGGGAAATTCAGAAGGCTCTGTCTCCGTCCTTTCCGCACTCTTTTTGGAGTTGCAGCACCGCTAAGCTCGGATACTCTGCCACTGCAGTGCTGTCTAAGGTGGGTCAGTGGGACCTGTTTTGAGTCGACTCAAAACTCGGCTTTCCCCACTCCTATTGGAGCTGTAGCACTGCCAAGCTTGGGTACTCTGGCACTGCAGTGCTGTCTAAGGTGAGTGGGTGGGACCTGTGTCCTGCTGTATGGAAGGGCAGGCAGACTGCAGAAGATGAAGCTGCAGGAGAAAGACGTGGAGAGGCGGGTGGTGACGGTTGATATAATATAAGGCAGTCGCTGTTGACTTCATTGTTTAATGCGTGTGCCTGCCTTTCCCTTTCAGGTGCCCCCTCTCTCAGTGCGCTACGGCATTGACAAGCCAGAGCACGAAAAGGAGGGGCGCGTGGTGACGGTTGCGTCGACTGTCTTTACATGTGCCAAGCCCTCCCCCCACACCGTTCAGGTACCTCCACTCTCAGTGCGGTACGGCATTGGAAAGCCACAGCATGACAAAGAGGGGCGAGTGGTGACGGTGGGATTCGCCCCCTTCTTTCTCGTCTGCTGCTACACGCCCAACTCTTCACGCTCCACTCCCTCCCCACCCTCTGCTCTGCAGGTGCTCCCTCTCTCAGTGCGCTACGGCATGGAGAAGCCACAGCATGACAAGGAGAGGCGCGTGGTGATGGTTGACTGTATCTGCTGCTGCTACTCACCCCTCCCCGCTCTCTTCCCTCTGCACTGTTCAGGTGCCCCCTCTCTCAGTGCGCTATGGCATGGACAAGCCAGGGCACGACAAGGAGAGGCGCGTGGTGACGGTTGCACTCGTGCCACAATTGAGCTGAGTGTTCTATATATCTGCCTCTCTTTCACCTGTGCAGGTACCACCTGTCTCAGTGCGGTATGGCATCAACAAGCCAGAGCACGACAAGGAGGGGCGCGTGGTGATGGTTGTGTCGACTGTCTATACATGTATGTACCATGCCTTTCCCCACCCTGTTCAGGTGTCCCCTCTCTCAGTGCGGTATGGCATTGGCAAGCCAGAGCACGACAAGGAGGGGCGCGTGGTGACGGTGGAATTCGCCCCTTTCTTCCTCGTGTGCTGCTACACTCCCAACTCCTCTGAGAAGCTAGTCCGGCTGGTGAGTAAACAAGGGAAGTCAACGATAGTCAACGTCAGTCAAGGCTAGTCAAGCTTGTTGACTTCGTCCCCTTCTTCCTCATGTGCTGTTACACGCCCAACTCCTCTGAGAAGCTAGTCAGGCTGGTGGGTGGGTAGTCAACGCAAGTCAAAACAGGTCAAAGCAAGTCAAAGCAGCAAGTCAACGAAAGTTATAACAACCATGTCGTTTTGCGATTTTGGAAAGGAAAGAGTTCCCATTCTTTTCAATCTCGCTCGCGTTCAGTCCTTGTGCCATTCCTGGTGCGTGTCTCAGATCCTCTTTCCCGTCCGTCTTACTGCGCCTTGGGGTCTTTTTAGTCAAACAACTTCGAAGTCACCTCAGGGCGTTCTCCTCGCATTAAGAGTCACCTCCATGCCGTGCGTGTCTCTCCCGCTCTGCCTTGCCTCTGCAGGACTACCGCACCAAGGAATGGGACGTTGCATTCGGCAGCTACGTCAAGGTAATTTCACTGTGCGCCAGGGAGGGTTGGTTAGAGTCATTGCATTTTGAAAGAACCATAGGTGTGCTTTCATCTCCCCAGGACTACCGCACCAAGGAATGGGACGTCGCATTTGGCTCTACGTCAAGGTATGGTCAAGTTCATTGCACTCACAAGCCTGTGCTGCCTCGTTCACTCTCACAAACCTTATGCTGGTAGATGCCTCATCATACTGCATTCAGGTACTTTGGCCAGATCGTGCTGCATTCAAGTCTCTGAAAATTGACATCTTTCACCCTTAGGGCAACCGGAGAAGCTCAGGGTTTACCGATGAGGAGCGGTCGTCGTTTGCAGCTACTCCATTCTTTGCTGCTCACCCCGTCCCTCTCTCCCTCTGTTGTGTTGTGCCACTGCAGGAACTGGAAAAGCAAAAGCCGGTGGTTGTAACGGGTGATCTCAACTGTGCCTTTGGGACGATTTACATTTTCCACCCCGAGGGCAACCGGAGAAGCTCGGGGTATACCGCTGACTTTTGAGTCGACTCAAAAGACAACTCGGATAAGGAGCGGGCATCGTTTGCAGCTAACCTGCTCCCTTGTCGTCCCTTCACTGTTTGGAATCCCGCCACTGCAGCAACTGGAGCAGCAGAAGCCGGTGATTGTCACCGGAGACCTCAACTGCGCGTTTGGCGAGATCGATATTTTCCACCCCGAGGGCAACCGAAGAAGCTCTGGCTTTACTGATGAAGAGAGAGAGTCGTTCGCATCTAACCTGCTGGGGGTTCCCTGGGACGGGGGGGAAGGTGGGGATGGGGGAGAGGGAGGAGAGAAGAGAGAGAACGGAAGTGGAGGGAAGAAGGGTGAAGGGGAGGGGAAAGGGGAGGGTGGAGATGAGGGTGGGACAGGGGAGGAACGTGGGTTGGTGGATACGTTTCGGCAGCAGCATCCCAATGCTGTGGCGTATACCTACTGGGGGTACCGGTCAAAAGCAAGACCCGCAAACAGAGGTGCGCTACACTCACTCACTCACACCCCCACATGCATGTACACGGGGTTGGTGGATAGTTTTCATCGTCAGCAGCATCCCAATGCTGTGGCATACCTACTGCTGGGGGTACCGGTCGAAAGCAAGACCTGCGAATAGAGGTGCGCCACACTCACTCACTCACACCCCCACATGCATGTACACAGGGTTGGTGGATAGTTTTCGTCGTCAGCAGCATCCCAATGCTGTGGCATACCTACTGCTGGGGGTACCGGTCGAAAGCAAGACCTGCGAATAGAGGTGCGCCACACTCACTCACTCACTCATACCCACGCTCTCCTGCACTTACATACTCGATTGCATGCACACTGGTTCGGGAAGTACGTTTTGACTGGATGGTGACCGGGACTAATTTCTTGTGTCCCAGTCGCTAGCACACATGCATACATACATACACCTTGAGACGCTGTTTTGTCATTTCCTTTTTTGGCCCCTCTATTCCCCAACTTGTTTACCTCTATGTCACACCAGGATGGCGTTTGGACTACTTTCTTGTGTCCCAGTCACTGGCATCCAGAGTACACGACTCATACACCATGCCAGATGTGCCAGGCAGCGACCACTGCCCCTTGGGGCTCGTGCTGAAGATGTGACTGTAGATTTAGTTGCTTACATACCGTGCCATGCTTACAGATAAGCGTCAAGAGTGCACGATTCATCCACCATGCCGGATGTGCCTGGCAGTGACCACTGCCCCTTGGGACTTGTGCTGAAGATGTGATTCTAGCAGTGAATGTGTTGCTCTAGCTAATCTGACAAACAGATATTCTTAGTACCGTAGCCCAGTTTTAAGCACCAAGAGTGCACGGCTCATACACCATGCCAGATGCGTTTGGAAACGAACATTGCACTGGCGGGTATGACATGACTTGATGTGGCTCAGATTAATATACTCCGTGTTGCAAAAATCATACCGGTATGCATAAGTAGTATGTACCGCGAAGAGTGCACAACACGGCACCATGCCAGATGTGCCTGAAGCGACCATTGTCTTCCCTGCTTGTGCCTTTATATCTTCCTAACCCTGAAAGCTCAGAGTTGCCATTTTTCCACACAGGTTTAAAATGGGTCACTTCAGCAGAATACCGTGGCCATTTTGCGGCCAAAGAGGCGAGACAGAGCCCGTAAAAACTATAAATAGAGGGGTCCATAATCGAGTACTTTTTCCAGATATGTCAACCCTGCATCGTAGCACAAATACAGAGCGATGTAAGGGCAGAGGAAGGGACGTAGTAAGAAAGGGATGAACAGAGAAAAGAAGGAACAGAAGCACAGTAAACGGGATGATGGGAGGGGCAGAGGAAGAGACTAACCAAGGAACAGACCAATCGGGCAGGGATGAGGGGAGGCATAGACGAAGGGGGGACGAGTGAAAGGGAGGACCCGAGGAGGGAAAGTAGGAAGGATGGGCGGTACAGAGAGGCGTGTAGGAAGGGAGGAAGAATGGCTTGAATTACATTTTGAGGCGCCTCAAAATGCATCTCACTACTAGAGGAAGAATGGCTTGAATTACCATTTCCTAGCTGTGCACACTCAAGCCCACGTCACCTCCCGAATGGTTGCCACAAGAGGGTGTGCAGTTGTAACAGTAGAGGAGAGTGTGGTTACCAGTCCCCCATGTTGACTGTGACTAAAACAGCGACGTTTGATTGAGGCGCCTTGAAAGGCTACGGATGGGTGTGTAGCTGCAAGAGTGAGGAGAGTGCGGCTACCAGTCCCCCATGTTGACAGTATACAATTCGCTGAGCAACCTCCCATTCGTCGACCGCAGCTCGTTGATTAGTCTACTCCAATTCGACCCAAGCGCACCCACAAAGTAGTCGCACTGCGACGCGATAATAGTGACTTTTGAGGCGCCTGAAAAGGCTACCATTCCCCCATGTTGACTGTATAAAACCCATTGAGAAGCCTCCCATTCGTCGAGCGCAGCTCGTTTATCAATCGGCTCCAGTTTGACCCGAGAGCGCCCACAAAGTAGTCGCACTGCGACGCGATGATCACACTCGCGAAGCTCGCTGCCACCGACTGCATGCGCTCATACTCTCGGCTCGATTTGGAACCCACGGGCTGGCGCGAATTGGAGGAGTGAAGGAACTTCCAGTCGAGGTATGAAGCTGATTCCTTGACCACGGACTGAATGGGAGGTGGGATAGAAGGAAGGACGGATTGACTTTTGATACATCTCAAAGCATGGCTCGACCTGGAGCCCACGTGCTGGCGTGAGTTGGAGGAGTGGAGGAACTTCCAGTCGACGTACAAGGCTGATTCCTTGACCACAGACTGTGGGGCGGGTGGGAAGGAAGGTTTGAGTTTTGAGACGTGTCATACTCGTGGCACGATCTGGAGTGCACGGGCTGGCTAGAGTTGGAGGAGAAGAGGAACTTCCAGTCGAGGTACATGGCTGATTCCTTGACCACAGACTGTAGGGGGAGTGGGAGCGAAGGAAGGAAGGAAGAATTGACTTTTGAGACATCTCAAAATGTGGCTGACGCGAGTTGGAGGAGTGGAGGAACTTCCAGTCGACATACAAGGCTGATTCTTTTATCACAGACTAAAAGGTGGGTGGGAGAAAAGGAAGGAAGGAAGGAAGGAAGGAAGGAAGGAAGGAAGGAAGGAAGAAAGGTCTACGTTAGCGGAAGAGCAGGAAAGGGGCGGATCGTGGTTAGGGAAGATAAGCAAAGCCACTGCAAGCGATAAAGAGGTAGGATATTAGGCGTGGGCAAGGTAAGCATTCGCTGCATTTGTTGCCCCACGCACCTCCATCTCTGTGTTGAGCCACACGTGTCGCACGTCCGGCACGTGCCGTCTCAGCCGGTGCACAAAGAACATGTGAGCGGCGAGCGGAGACAGACGCATCTTGAGTCAACTCAAGACAGGCGCATCTCCGTGCCCTTGTTGTTCTGCCGCACCCTAAACCTCACATTATTGAGTCGACTCACAACGCACCTCCGTCTCTGTGTTGAGCCACACGTATCGCAGGTCCGGTACATAACGCCGCAGCCGGTGCACAAAGAACATGTGCGTGGCGAGCGGCGACAGGCGCATCTTGAGTCAACTCAAAGCAGACGCATCTCAGTGCCCTTGTCACTCTGCCACACGTGACTTTTGAGTCGACTCACAACGCACCTCCATCTCTGTGTTGAGCCACACGTATCGCAAGTCCGGCACGTAACGCCGCAGCCGGTGCGCAAAGAACATGTGCGTGGCGAGCGGAGACAGGCGCATCTCAGTGCCCTTGTCACTCTGCCGCACGTGCACACTCACAATCGGCCGCATCACAAAAGGCTCTCCTCCCATTCCCACCGCTGCATACGTCTCCCTTATCGCCTTGGCATCCGCTGCACCCATGCACACCTCACTGCACCCTGCGAAACCCCGGATAGGCCACACTTGCGTTTCAATGGGACCCGGAGGGCTGGCGGCAATCTCGGCAAGTTTCTTGGATTCGGGTGTTTCGGGTGTTTCGAAGGTCGCGTTCCCTGCGATGATCTGGGTGTTTCCCGTAACGGCCCGTAGGATCTCGGACTGCGTTTCGGTGTAGCGAGAGTGGTGGGATGCGGTTAGCAGGCCGTATGCTGTGTGGCGCTCCTTGTTGGTTTGGTGGCATAAGTGAGAAGAGGGCCAGCGCAGCATGAAACGTGTTGACTGCGATCGCCACCAGTGCACCTGGCAGGTGCGGGCGAGCAGAGGAGGGGTAGTGCGAGAGGTGGGATGCGGCGTGGAGGCCGTAGGCTGTGTGGCGCTCCTTGTTGGTTTGATGGCATAAGTGAGGAGAGGGCCAGCGCAGCATGAAGCGAGTCGACTGGGATCGCCACCAGTGCACCTGGCAGGCGAGGAGGGGAGGGGATAGTAGTGATCTGGGACTGGGTTTCGGTGTAGCGAGAGAGGTGGGATGCGGTGTGGAGGCCGTATGCGGCGTGGCGCTCCTTGTTGGTTTGGTGGCATGAGTGAGAAGAGGGCCAGCGCAGCATGAAGCGAGTCGACTGGGATCGCCACCAGTGCACCTGGCAGGTGTGGGTTCAAGAAGGAGAGGGGTAAAGGGAGGGGTAAGGGGAGGGGTAAGGGGAGGGGTAAGGGGAGGGGTAAGGGGAGGGGTAAGACGCAGCGTGGAAGTGACTGAGACAGGAAGGGGGAGGTTATGGGGCAAACCTTGGTCTGGCTGGGCGTTTACCATGTGCACCATGTGACCATGTGTGACCATGTGTGACCATGTGTGACCATGTGTGACCATGTGTGACCATGTGTGACCAAGTGTGACCATGTGTGACCATGTGTGACCATGTGTGACCATGTGTGACCATGTGTGACCATGTGTGACCATGTGTGACCATGTGTGACCATGTGTGACCATGTGTGACCATGTGTGACCATGTGTGACCATGTGTGACCATGTGTGACCATGTGTGACCATGTGTGACCATGTGTGACCATGTGTGACCATGTGTGACCATGTGTGACCATGTGTGACCATGTGTGACCATGTGTGACCATGTGTGACCATGTGTGACCATGTGTGACCATGTGTGACCATGTGTGACCATGTGTGACCATGTGTGACCATGTGTGACCATGTGTGACCATGTGTGACCATGTGTGACCATGTGTGACCATGTGTGACCATGTGACCATGTGACCATGTGACCATGTGACCATGTGACCATGTGACCATGTGACCATGTGACCATGTGACCATGTGACCATGTGACCATGTGACCATGTGTGACCATATGACCATGTGACCATGTGTGACCATGTGACCATGTGTGGCCATATGACCATGTGTGACCATGTGTGACCATGTGTGACCATGTATGACCATGTGTGACCATGTGACCATGTGACCATGTGACCATGTGACCATGTGACCATGTGACCATGTGACCATGTGTGACCATATGACCATGTGGCCATGTGTGACCATGTGACCAGGTGTGGCCATATGACCATGTGACCATGTGACCATGTGACCATGTGACCATGTGACCATGTGACCATGTGACCATGTGACCATGTGACCATGTGACCATGTGACCATGTGACCATGTGACCATGTGACCATGTGACCATGTGACCATGTGACCATGTGACCATGTGACCATGTGACCATGTGACCATGTGACCATGTGTGACCATGTGACCATGTGTGACCATGTGACCATGTGTGACCATGTGGAAGCGCATTCGCACGCACCATCGGGTGTTTGCTGTCAATAGGTGGTTGCTCCCCCATACACTCCACCACATTGGGGGTGGATTCGTTTTTCTCAACAGCAGATATCAGGGCACACACGCACCATCGGGTGTTTGGTGTCAACAGGTGGCTCCTCCCCCATATACTCCACCACATCCGGGGCCCTCGCGTACGCATCGCCCCATAGCCTGGAGAAGTGGGGGGCCGGGGGGAAGGGGGGTGGGGAGGGACCTTTGAGTCGACTCAAAAGTCTCAACATGTGGCTGCTCTGCTCCCCCATATACTCCACCAAATTTGGGGCCCTCGCGAACGCATCACCCCATAGCCTGGTGTGGCAATTAGGAACATGGAGGGGGAGAGGGGTGTGGGGAAGTTCGGGAGTACGAGAATATGGGAGACAGGGGGGATTGGGATAGGGGTAACAGTTATAAGAATGGTAGTGGTAATATTAGTGGCAATGGTAATGGTAATGATAATGGTAGTGGTAATGGTAGTGGTAATGGTAATGGTAATGGTAATAGTAATGGTAATGGTAATGGTAGTGGTAATGATAATGGTAATGGTAATAGTAGTGATAATGGTAATAGTAATGGTAGTGGTAATGGTAATGGTAATGATAATGGTAATAGTAATGGTAATGGTAGTGATAATGGTAATAGTAATGGTAATGGTAATGGTAATGGTAATGGTAGTGGTCATGGCAATGGTAATGGTAATAGTAATGGTAATGGTAATAGTAATGGTAATAGTAATGGTAATGGTAATGGTAATGGTAATGGTAATGGTAGTGGTAATGGTAATGGTAATGGTAGTGGTAATGGTAGTGGTAATGGTAATGGTAATAGTAATGGTAATGGTAATGGTAATGGTAATGGTGATGCTAATGGTAGTGACCCCCGTTCCTTCACCTTCCCCCTTTCCCTAACCCTATGTCTTACGCACGTGGCAGCACGCGCCTCAAACGCCATCTGGCTGTCACAGCTGGAGTTAAGATACACCACCGGGTCGGCCGAGGCATCCTTCTGAATCAATCAAAAGTCAGTACCCCTTTCCCTTCCCCTTCCCTTTCCCCTTTCCCCCCTTCTTCTTACATGGCAGCACGGGCCTCAAACGCAATCTGACTGTTGCAGCTGGAGTTGAGGTGAACCACAGGGTCACCCGAGGCACCTCTTACACTCTTCCACACCCCACCATCCCCTTCCCCTCTCGACTCACACTAACTTTGCCGCACGGGCCTCAAACTTCATCTAGCTGTTGCAGCTGGAGTTGAGGTGAACCACCGGGTTGTCTGAGGCAGCCTTTTGAGTCGATCAAAAGTCAGCTATTCCTTCCCCTCCCCTCCTTCCTCTAACTCACTCACTTGGCAGCACGCACCTCGAAGGCCATATGGCTGTCGCAGCTCGAGTTGAGATACACCACAGGGGCGGCCGAGGCAGCCAGGCGATTGTGCCCCTCCCCTCCCCCCTTCCCCTTTCCCTCCCCCCTGCAACCCTTCCCCTCCCCCCTTCTCTCTAAGACTCACTCACGTGGCAGCACGGGCCTCCAACTTCATCTGGCTGTCGCAGCTCGAGTTGAGATACACCACCGGGTCGGCCGAGGCAGCGAGGCGATTGTGCCCCGTCTTGTCGGAGGACAAGGGGGGCATGGTGCTGCTGGCGATCATATCTGATACCACGCGCTCACAGTCGGGGTTCACTATGGGGAAGAAGTAGCAACCCCACGACCCGCCTGTCCCTGTCGCTGGGGAAAGGAGGGAGAGGGGGAGGGGGAAGGGGGAGGGAGCATGATGCTACTGCCGATCATATCTGAGACCACGCGCTCACAGTCGGGATTCACTAGGGGGAAGAAGTAGCAACCTCACAACCCACTTGTGTTTGTGGCTGGGGGAAAGGAGGGGAGAGGGGAGGAGGAAAAGGCACGGTCGTACGAGCCAGGCACGGGCACGAGGTGTGAGGCGCCTCAACAAAGGCAAGCATAGTATAAGCTGGGCGTAGCGTAGCACTCACAGTTGCATGTCTCGGTGTAGGCCCGGTCGTACGAGCCAGGCGCGGGCACGAGTGTGCGGTTGTGGATAAAAGCCAGGCTGAGGAACGTGCTCATCACGTGTATCTGATGGTAACGGTGGGTGGTGATGGGGGGGATAATGATGGTGATGGGGGGGGGGGGGGGATGGCGATGGGGGTGATGATGGCAGCAATGGGCATGCTCAGGAACGTGCTCATCACGTGTATCTGATGGTGCCGGTACCAATGGGTGGGTGGGAAGGGAGGTTGGTACTCTCCCACCTGAGAGCCCACGCCGTGGTGGGTCTTGTTGGGCCACTTTTGAGACGTCTCAGAACACGCCCTCCCCCACCTGTGAGCCCACGCCTACCAATCACCCACCTGCAACCTCACCCCGTGGTGGGTCTTGGTGGGCCACCGGACGACGAGCAGGCGCTTGGTCAATGAGAATGCTCAAAAACCAACTGCCTACCCACTTTCCACACCCTCTCCCACCCACCTGAGAGCCCACGCCATGGTGGGTCTTGGTGGGCCACGGCACAACCAGCAAGCGCCTGCCCTCACAGAAACCGGGAAACAACTGGTGCTCCCACCACAGATGCCAACTCTTGAGACGCCTCACATCACGCCCTCACCCTCCCCCACATGCGAACCCACGTCCCCACCCACCTGCGACCCCACGCCGTGGTGGGTCTTGGTGGGCCACGGCACGACCAGCAGGCGCCTGCCGTCGCAGCTGCCGGAAAAAAGCTGGTGCTCCCACAGGTCCCTCTGTAAGGCACGCCCCCTCCCTCTCCCACCTACCACGCCCCCACCCACCTGCGACCCCACGCCATGGTGGGTCTTGCTGGGCCACGGCACGACGAGCAGGCACCTGCCGTCACAGCTGCCGGGAAACAACTGGTGCTCCCACCCCAACTCTTGAGACGCCTCAGATCACGCCCTCTCCCTCCCCACCTGTGACCCCACGCCGTGGTGGGTCTTGGTGGGCCACAGCACGACGAGCAGGCGCCTGCCGTCACAGCTGCCGTGGAACATTTGGTGCTCCCACAGGTCCCACCTTTGTGAGACGTCTCAAAAGTCGCCCTCTCCCACCCACCTGCCTACCCACCTAGCACGGCTCTCCCTCTCCCGGAAGGTGCACCCTCTCCCCCAATCCCACCTGCGAGCCCACGCCATGGTGGGTCTTGGTGGGCCACGGCACGACGAGCAGGCGCCTGCCCTCGCAGCTGCCGTGGAACATCTGGTGCTCCCACAGATCTCGCTGCACCACACGCGTCAGCGGCAGATTGTCCGCGTCGGACCCGCGCACCTGCGAGAAGCAAGCCCGGGGAGGGAAGGAAGGTGGGGAAGCAGGCGCTTGCCGTCGCAGCTGCCGTGGAACAGCTGGTGCTCCCACCGCAGGTCCCGCTGCACCACTCGCGTCAGCGGTAGATTGTCCGCGTCTGACCCGCGCACCTGGGGGTTGGGGGAAGACAGGCGCGAGGGAACGAGGGGCAGACACCCGTTAGAGAGTGGGAGGAGGCGGGGGAAACAGCTGGTGCTCCCACAGATCCCTCTGCACCACGCGCGTCAGCGGTAGATTGTCCGCATCGGACCCGCGAACCTGGAGGTTGGGAAGGGGGGGGGTGGGCAGGGAATGATGATGGGTAGTTGGAAAAAAAATCTCCTGATTGTCTTCCTTACACCCTTGTCTTTCTTACAACCTAGTCTATGCGTTATTTGGAGCACCCATGGTGCCATGATACAGTATCCAAGGTGGTTGCAGGGTGCATTCATTCGGCCGAGCAGTTATCAACAGTCCGCGCCCACAGATGTAGCTGCCCGTCGCCTCCGCGTCTCTCGGATTGCGATGAGACAGGCTCGAATCTATACCCAAGGTGGTTGCGGGTTGCATTGGGAGGAGCAGTTATCAACACGCCGCGCCCACACAGGGGGCTGCCCGTCGCCTCCGCGTCTCTCGGATTGCGATGAGACAGGCTCGAATCTATACCCAAGGTGGTTGCGGGTTGCATTGGGAGGAGCAGTTATCAACACGCCGCGCCCACACAGGGGGCTGCCCGTCCCCTCCGCGTCTCTCGGATTGCGATGAGACAGGCTCGAATCTATACCCAAGGTGGTTGCGGGTTGCATTGGGAGGAGCAGTTATCAACACGCCGCGCCCACACAGGGGGCTGCCCGTCGCCTCCGCGTCTCTCGGATTGCGATGAGACAGGCTCGAATCTATACCCAAGGTGGTTGCGGGTTGCATTGGGAGGAGCAGTTATCAACACGCCGCGCCCACACAGGGGGCTGCCCGTCCCCTCCGCGTCTCTCGGATTGCGATGAGACAGGCTCGAATCTATACCCAAGGTGGTTGCGGGTTGCATTGGGAGGAGCAGTTATCAACACGCCGCGCCCACACAGGGGGCTGCCCGTCCCCTCCGCGTCTCTCGGATTGCGATGAGACAGGCTCGAATCTATACCCAAGGTGGTTGCGGGTTGCATTGGGAGGAGCAGTTATCAACACGCCGCGCCCACACAGGGGGCTGCCCGTCCCCTCCGCGTCTCTCGGATTGCGATGAGACAGGCTCGAATCTATACCCAAGGTGGTTGCGGGTTGCATTGGGAGGAGCAGTTATCAACATGCCGCGCCCATACAGGAGGCTCCCCGTCCCCTTCACGTCTCTCCGACTCCTTCCTCGCCGCTGTCAGCGCCCAGCAGTCCTCTAAATGCGGAGCGGGCGGCACGATGGCCGGCAAGGTGATCTTAGCGGGCGGCAAGTGCACGTCGGGTTTCAATCCGTACGCCTCCTCCCATATCTGAGAAATTAAGAGGGGTTGTGAAGGAAATGAAAGCGTGACGGGAAGGGAATGGCAACGTGAGGGGAAGGAATGGGAGCGTGAGGGCGGCAAGTGGGCGTCGGGTTTCAATCCGTACGCCTCCTCCCATATCTGAGGGGTCAAGACGAAGGGTGCAAAGGAAATGGGAGCGTGTGGGGACGGGAATGAGAGCGTAGAGTGAGGGGAAGGGAATGAGAGCGTAGAGTGAGGGGAAGGGAATGAGAGCGTAGAGTGAGGGGAAGGGAATGAGAGCGTGAGTGTGGCATGTGAACGTCATGTTTCAATCCGTACGCCTCCTCCATGTCTGAGGGATAAAGACAGGGTGCGAGGTGATGAGTTGAGGGGAAGAGAGAGCGAGAGAGCGAGACGTGAGGACGGAGTAGCGAGGTGCGAGGAGCGAGGAGAGGGAGAGGAAGAGGAAGAGGGAGAGGGGAAGTCAACTGTGCTTTGGCGTATCAAATCGCAACCGCGACTCGCAAGCTACGCTCTTTGCATGCATCCCGCCCACCATCAGAACGCTGTGTGCAGACGGGAGCGAGCGAGCGAGCAAGCGACAGCTGAAACTCACGCGGAAGAGAGACATGGCGCGCTCGATACCCGCGTCGCCGCCGATCTGCCCACGTGGCATGACGTCGGGCATCTGCGCCATAACGGACGGCTGCGATGCGCCGCGGAGCAAGAGGAGCGAGACGACGATAACGAGAGACATGGTGGTGGGGTGCGGTGTTCGCCAGAAATGAACGGAAGGCCTAATGGAATTCCGAATTACGAGTCGTAAGTGACCATGATATACAGCAGCAGCATCAGAGGGAAGTCTTCTCGTCACCTTACCACCACGCCCTGGCTCGATTCTCACAATCACAACCTGCGAGGTAATTCGCACAGGGGAATCGGTGCAGACAAACAGAACCGTCCCACGAAGAGTCCCGTGTGATCGTGAACAGGAAGAGTGGAAAGTTTGCTTTTCGTCAATGCATTTAGCCTTCTCAATCGCCGTGTGGTCGCAAAAAAATATCGTCAGTAATAGTCAGCGTAGTATCGGTAGTGAACGGTAAAGAGTTCAGTGGAACGACGGCCAAACATTCACGTTGATCCTAAAGCTGATTGTGACTTCCGCGACTAGCATGCTATCGGGAAACAGCGTCTGTAGTCTGTATCTATGGTATGGTGCACGTGCTGTGTGATAATGTGGTTCTATTGCTGCCTGAGGGCGCGTTCCTGGCGCGTGTCAAACTTCCGGCCAAACTTCGTGTTTTCCGAGCCAGGGGCAAATTTTTTAGGGATGACCCGAAGTGGGGCGAGCTGTGGGGCGAGCTTCGTGTCATCCCGGGAATACCGTAAGTTTGACACTAGCCAGGAACGCGTCCTGAGGAAAAGGTTTTTGTTTTCGATTCATTTCCTTGCGTATTCGTCTACCACGAAAAATCACTTATAGTCGTAAAGAACAGAGATATACATCTGAATACAGAGCTACAAGTGATTACAAAGAACTTCTAAGATCCCCTAAGGGTCAACCACTGCAACTGCAGTGCAGATCCACAGCTTCTTGTCTTGGTTCTTGGTCTTGCCTTTCTTGGTTCTTGGTCTAGGGGTCATTCGTTCGGGGTCTGTTGGGGAGGGAGGGACTTATTTACAGGGCAGAAAGGAGAGGGGACGGTTAAAATTAAATACAGGGCAGCAAGTTCCCGCCATGTTGACCACCGTAAGGAAGGGAGGGAAGATCAAGACAATCCTAACCAAACCCAACCACGCCCAACCACACCTGACCGTCCGAACCTAACGTCCTAGCTAATTCGAGCCTAGGTCTAGACTAGACCGTAGCCAAGATCCGAGCCTAGCTAAGGCTAATGCGTCCCCTAGCTAGGCCTGATTCGAGCCTAACGACCTGACTAACGCACCTAAACGTTCTGACTAACGCCCCTAACGTAGACCTAACCACCCAGGGAGCCAGGGCCCAGACCACTTACACGGCTGGTTGCTCCAAGCTCGGCGCCCCAAGCTGCTTGCTCCATCGAGGCGCGCGGCTTCTCTCTCCGCGCTCCTCGCCCGCTCATGCTCCTGCCCACAAACCAAACAGAGGACGTTAGTGTTCTGATAAGGAAGAAAGAAATTGAAATTGACGGAACTTACTAGGAAAAGGGAGCCCACTCAGTTACCCCCTTCCTCTCCGCCAGCTCCCCATGGCGCTCCTTCTGCACAAAGACAGAACACAAAAGAGAAACTTAGTAAAACGTAAACGAAAATACAGCTGAAATTGACAAAACTTCCCAGAAGAGGGAGATCTTGCCCCGTGAACCTCCTCCGCCCGCTCCAGGTGTTGCCCCTGCTCCTGCTCCCTCTGCATTTAAAAGGCACGGAAGAGCAAGGAAAAAAACGTTAGGTAACAGATTTTCGCTAAAGGGCAAAAACAGAAGACTGATGACCGGAAACGAGGTAAAACAGTGACGAAATTTACCATGAGAGGGAAACCATTCCGTTCACCCCCTTGCTCGCCGTCAGCTCCCCAGTCCCGCTCCTTCTGCACGAAGACAGAACACAAAGACAACTTAGTAAAACGTAAACAGAACACTGACGGAATCTGACGATACTTACAGAGAGAGGGAGAGCTCTCCGCGTGGTACCTCCCCCGCCCGCTCCAGGTGTTGCCTGCGCTCCTCCTACGCCCGCTCCTGCGCGAAAGACACAAACTCGATGTTAGAAATCTCGAAGAAACTAAAGATAGCAGACCATGCTTACCAGGACAAGGAGAGTGATTCTTCTTCCTCCCGCTGTTGCTCCTCCTCCCGCTCCTGCTTCACAAAGCAACCAAATTCGAAGTTAGACATCTCGAAAAAGAAGTATCGAACGAAATAGAACAGTGCTTACCAGGAAAAGGGAGAGCGTTCTCTTCTTCTTTACCTTCACGCTGTCGCCACGTGCTCCTCCTTCCGCTCCTGTTTCACGAGAGGCACGAAACTTGAAGTTAGAAATCTCGAAAGAATAAAAAGCTAACGGAATCGGACCGTGCTTACCAGGATAGAGAAAGCGTTAATTTCTTGACCTCCCTTGTCGCCAGCTCCCATCCCGCTCCTTCTGCACTAAGACAGAGAACACACAAGAAAAAGTTAGTAAATGGTAAGGAAAATTCTAGCTGAAATTGACGATAGTTACCAAGAGAGGGAGAGCTCTCCCCGTGAGACTCCCTTGGTCGCCGCCAGCTCCCTTCCCGCTCCTTCTGCATTAAGACAGAGAACACACAAGAGAAAGTTAGTAAAACGTAATGATAGTTCTAGCTGAAATTGACGATAGTTACCATGAGAGGGAGAGCTCTCCCCGTGAGACTCTCTTGGTCGCCGCCAGCTCCCATCCCGCTCCTTCTGCATTAAGACAGAGAACACACAAGAGGAAGTTAGTAAAACGTAACGATAGTTCTAGCTGAAATTGACGATAGTTACCATGAGAGGGAGAGCTCTCCCCGTGAGACTCCCTTGGTCGCCGCCAGCTCCCATCCCGCTCCTTCTGCATTAAGACAGAGAACACACAAGAGGAAGTTAGTAAAACGTAATGATAGTTCTAGCTGAAATTGACGATAGTTACCATGAAAGGGAGAGCTCTCCCCGTGAGACTCGCTTGGTCGCCGCCAGCTCCCATCCCGCTCCTTCTGCATAACGACAGAGAACACACAAGAGGAAGTTAGTAAAACGTAATGATAGTTCTAGCCGAAATTGACGATAGTTACCATGAGAGGGAGAGCTCTCCCCGTGAGACTCCCTTGGTCGCCGCCAGCTCCCATCCCGCTCCTTCTGCATTACGACAGAGAACACACAAGAGGAAGTTAGTAAAACGTAACGATAGTTCTAGCTGAAATTGACGATAGTTACCATGAGAGGGAGAGCTCTCCCCGTGAGACTCCCTTGGTCGCCGCCAGCTCCCATCCCGCTCCTTCTGCATTAAGACAGAGAACACACAAGAGGAAGTTAGTAAAACGTAATGATAGTTCTAGCTGAAATTGACGATAGTTACCATGGGAGGGAGAGCTCTCCCCGTGAGACTCCCTTGGTCGCCGCCAGCTCCCATCCCGCTCCTCCTGCATTAAGACAGAGAACACACAAGAGGAAGTTAGTAAAACGTAATGATAGTTCTAGCTGAAATTGACGATAGTTACCAAGAGAGGGAGAGCTCTCCCCGTGAGACTCCCTTGGTCGTCGCCATCTCCCATCCCGCTCCTTCTGCATTAAGACAGAGAACACACAAGAGGAAGTTAGTAAAACGTAATGATAGTTCTAGCTGAAATTGACGATAGTTACCATGAAAGGGAGAGCTCTCCCCGTGAGACTCGCTTGGTCGCCGCCAGCTCCCATCCCGCTCCTTCTGCATTACGACAGAGAACACACAAGAGGAAGTTAGTAAAACGTAATGATAGTTCTAGCTGAAATTGACGATAGTTACCATGAGAGGGAGAGCTCTCCCCGTGAGACTCTCTTGGTCGCCGCCAGCTCCCATCCCGCTCCTTCTGCATTAAGACAGAGAACACACAAGAGGAAATTAGTAAAACGTAATGATAGTTCTAGCTGAAATTGACGATAGTTACCATGAGAGGGAGAGCTCTCCCCGTGAGACTCCCTTGGTCGCCGCCAGCTCCCATCCCGCTCCTCCTGCATTAAGACAGAGAACACACAAGAGGAAATTAGTAAAACGTAATGATAGTTCTAGCTGAAATTGACGATAGTTACCAAGAGAGGGAGAGCTCTCCCCGTGAGACTCCCTTGGTCGTCGCCATCTCCCATCCCGCTCCTTCTGCACTAAGACATAGAACAAACAAGAGGAAGTTAGTAAAATGGAAAGAAAATAAAAGCTGAAATTGACGATACTTACTAACAAAGAGAGGGACGAAGATCGTCTCCTCGCGGCGACGATGATGTCGCAGTGGACAAGGATCTGCCGGAGCAGTAAGCGACTTTGTCGCAGTGATGTCCACTTTGGCGAAGATGTCCTTGCGATTGCCACCATGCGACGGAAGAAGCGCATCTTTGCGTTGAGGCGAAGCAAGAGGCCGCGTCACGACGAGGCATTCGACGACCTCGGCTTGACTTCCGATAGAGATTGGTCGAGAAGCGCCAAGGCGGTGTCCTGCAGGAAGAAGGAAAATCCGTTAGAGCTTATCAGTAAAACATTATGAAGAAGGAAAAAACAGTTGAAAAATACGAGAGAAAACTGTTGCAAAAGTTTCAGAACAGCTACTTACGTTCACTTGGAAGAGATGACAATCCCGTCTCCTTCGCCTTGGTAGTTGCGCCGGAATAAGCGCCAACAGCGACGGGGAAAGCGCCATTGAAGATCGTCTTGAGAAGATCTCGAAGCGAAGACTTCCCGATGATAATCGCGGTGGAAAATATCGCGGTGGTCAACTTGCCGTGAAGATCTCCCAGGGTTCTCGCGATCTTGACAGTGGAGTTCTTGACAGGGAGTTCTCGCCATAGGGAGTTTCTCGCGACGTAGTTCTCGCCGCGAAGATCAGGGCGTAGTACAAGGTTCCGGCCAAGGCTTGCAAGCAGCTCCCTAGACTCTCTACCCACCCACCCCACCCACGATTCTAGACTCTACGCTAACTCTAACGCCTACGCGAACCTACGCGGACTCTAAGACGCGCTGCTGCTTGCCTTGGCCTTTCCCTTGTACTAGCTCGGGTGGCTTCATGATGTAGCTTAGACTGCTCAATAGAGCTTGTCG